AAGGGGGTGGAAAAACGAACTGCACTCCTCCAAGGGAGAAACAGCAAGGTCACACTGCAAAGGAGCATACAAACTTGGATGGGAGGAATTTATGAGCATAAAACAAACTAGCACGCTAGCATGTGAAGGCCTATGGAATTTGTTCTCTGTCAAGGTCTGTCCCAATCTGACCTGTGTTTTAGGATAACTCTGGTGATTTGTGAATATGAGTTAAAAAGGTCAGAGATTAGAAATAGGAAGTCCAGTAGAGAGTACGTTTCAGTAGGCTAGGCAAGAAGGAAGAGGGCATTGTTCATAGGCTAGGGATGGGGAATGCATATGGAGAAATGGACATGAGATATTTCTAAAGTAGAATTAGAGAGAGTCCAGTGGTTACTATATGCTCTGTACCAGCGTAAGTGATATAGGGAGATGCGAGTAAGATATTAGTAAGAGATAATCTAACCAACAAATAGATACTCAAATATTTGTCTGGTTAATGAGGAACTTAAAATCTTTTTTGGAAAAAGGGAAAACCTAGAACACACACACACACAAAATGAAGATTCTAGTGAACTGCACACCTTTACTTCATCTGATTACAGAACCTCTCTTTCTTGTTTTTTTTTTTTTGAGGAGTCTCACTTTGTTGCCCAGGCTGGAGTGTAGTGATGCGATCTCAGCTCACTGCAACCTCTGCCTCCTGGGTTCAAGTGATTCTCATGCCGCAGCCTCCTGAGTAGCTGGGACTACAGGCGTGCACAATCATGCTTGGCTAATTTTTGTATTTGTAGTAGAGACAGGGTTTCAACATGTTGGCCAGGCTGGTCTTGAACTCCTGACCTCAAGTGATCTGCCCACCTTGGCCTCCCAAAGTGCTGGGATTACAGGCGTGAGCCATGGTGCCCGGCCACTTTCCCTCTTCTGAACACACATTGTATTTATCATCTGTCCTGTTTTCTGCACATGTAATAATAAACTGCCTTCTACTGTTTTGTTTTGTTTTTTGAGACAGAGTCTCTGTTGCCCAGGCTGGAGTGCAGTGGCGCAACCTTGACTCACTGCAGCCTCAACCTCCTGGCTCAAGCCATCCTCTTGTCTCAGCCACCTGAATAGCTGGGGTTCCAGATATGCACCACCACACCTGGCTAATGTTTTGTAGAGACAGGGTCTCACTTTGTTGCCCAGTCTGGTCTTGAACTCCTGAGCTCAAGCAATCCTCCCACTTTGGCCTCCTAAATTGCTGTGAGTAGAGATTTGAGCCACTGTGCTGGCCTTCTATTATTATTTAACCTTTTTATTTTTGTTAACCTTATTTTCCTTGCTAGATTTTAAATCTGTGAAAGGTCTAATGATGTGAGGCCAGTCACTCAGGAAATTCACAGAATATGCTCTGTGCCATGTTAGAAGGAAACAAATTGGATGGGGACTCTTGTCAGAGAAAACGCAAACGAGATAAGAGTTGCGGTGGAATAATTCTTAAAAACACACATAAGACAGCGAGTGTTCACCAAGAAGACTGGTGGCTACCAAATGCTTGCCCCCTTTTCCGCAGTAGAAAGTTGTTGTTGGGAAATGGCTCCGCAGTCAAGGGCCGTTTTCCCCAGCCCCACCATTCCTCTCCATGGAGTCATGTGATTCATTCTCAGCAAAGGAAAGCGAGTGGGAATGGTGGAGGCCATATCCAGGCCACCATGGTTAAGACACAGATTTGCCTTCTCTATTCTTACTTTCCTTTCTGCTGGCTGGACATAGAGGATGCAGAGGGCCTGGAGGATAATGAATCATGAGTGCAAGAAGCTGGGGGTGTCTGAATTACCGCATGGTGGAAAAACTCCCCCTGAACAGGGAACTCTGGCTTTGGGCTGCTCTTTGAGAGAGACATAAATTCTTTGTGTTCAACCACTGAAATGTGGAGGATTATTTGTTACAGCAGTGTATTAGTCAGGGTTTTCCAGACAGATAGGACCAATAGGTTATGTATATGTATGGAAAGAGATTCATTGAGATTTATTTGTAAGGGATTGGCTCATACAATTATGAAGGCTGGCAAGTTCAAAATCTGCAAGGCAGTCAGCCAGGCATGGTGACATGCGCCTGTAATCCCAGCTACTCGAGAGGCTGAGGCAGGAGGATCACTTGATCCTAGGAGGTCAAGGCAGCCATGATCATGCCACTGGACTTTAGCCTGGATGACGGAGTGAGACTCTGTCTCAACAATCAAACAAACAAACAAAAATCTGCAAGGTAGGTCAGCAGGCTGAAGACCCAGGAAAAGCTGATGTACAGTTCAAGTCCAAAGACCATGTGCTAGTAGAGTTTCCTCTTGCTAAGGCGAGGTGAGACCTTTGTTCTATTCACCCCTTCCACTGATTAGATGAGACCGACCCACACCATGGAGGGCAATCTGCTTTACTCAAAGTTGATGGATTTAAATACTAATCTAATTCAAAAGCACCCTCACAAAAACATCCAGACTAATGTTTCACTGCTCTCTGGGCACCGTGGCCCAGCCAATTAACCATCCCAAGCAGCTAACACTTCCTTTATTTACACCAAGATGTGTTGAGACTGATAGCCAACCCATGCAGAAATGTCATTTTTCTCACTCCTTTGTCTTCACTCAGAGGCTGTTCCTACCCTGGTAAAGACATTATTTTCAAGGTATATTGAATACCTCAAACTTTCTACCAAAATATAATGACTTGTTTGCAAAAGTCCTGGAGAACAGAGGATAATCATGACATTGTGTAATCCATTATGTCTGCATAGGAAAGGATATGGTCACCTGGGTTTTATTAAACTATTTCTGTCTCTGCCTAGAATCAGAATCAGGCAGTGAAGATTACCACCAAGGAGCCTGCCCCACGTTTCCATTTTCAACAGAAATAAATGATGGGTTATTCTTGTAGTGAGTGCCCTTTAGAGAGAGGTTGTCTGACTCCTGTTGTGTTCACTGTTGTGCCTCTCATGTCTTGATTCTTATGATGAAGTTTATAAGCAGGGTAGAACAATAGGACTGAAAAGAGGACGGCTATAAACCAGTACCTTAGGGAACAACTAGTAAAATTAACTTTCTTACCTTTGGCAGCAAAAAGGGGCACTCAAAAGCTACATCTCCCCTGCCCCTTGACATGTTTTATAAGAAGTGGAGGGGAATTAGTATTATTCCTTGGCTCTAACAATAAAACTAAAAAGTTTGCTACAACCAGCACTCTGGTCAATGCCCTGTAATAATCTAGGTAGCTTTCTACCCTCTTTATGAAGCCCACCCTTACCGCTCTAGAACTCTTTATTTCTTTTCTTTTCTTTTCTTTTTTTTTTTTTTTTTTGAGATGGAGTCTTGCTCTGCTGCCCAGGCTAGAGTGCAAGGGGGCAATTTCAGCTCACTGCAACCTCCGCCTCCCAGGTTCAAGTGATTCTCCTGCCTCAGCCTTCCGAGTAGTTGGAATTACAAGCGCCCACTACCACACCTGGCTAATTTTTGTATTTTTAATACAAACAGGGTTTCACCATGTTGGTCGGGCTGGTCTCAAACTCCTTACCTTAGATGATCCAGCCTCCTCAGTCTCCCAAAGTGCTGGGATTACGCCTGGCCAGGACTATTTATTTCACAGGCATTTATTCACAAATATCAATCGAGCATCTACTGTATAGTGCTGTATAGCACTACATCAGGAATTGTAAAGAACTCGAAAAAGCACAAGTTGTGGTCTCATACATCTCAATAAACTCAAGATATAATATCCACGTACACTAACTTTGTGTGTGTGAGAGTGTATATGCTTAAAGAATAATGCTATTCTGCTTTTATTTATTTTTTTTATTTTTTGAGTCACTGTGTTGCCCAGGCTGGAGTGCAGTGGTGCAGTCACCGCCTACTGCAGCCTGGACTTCCTGGGCTAGGCGATCCTCCTGCCTCCGCCTGCTGAGTAGCTGGGACCACAGGCACACACCACCACATCCAGCTAATTTTAAAAATTATTTGTACCCATTGGGTCTCTCTATGTTGTTCAGGCTGGTCTCAAACTCCTAGGCTCAAGCAATCGTCCCACCTCAGTGTTGAGATTACAGGCATGAGCCACTGCACCTGCCCAAGGCCAGGAGGAACTTTAACCCTCTGTGTTCCTCCTGGACTTTCTTTGTCTAGGATATCTGAACACAGTCTATGGATGGTAGAAGGGGCTGGTTTTATAGATCCCTTACCTTGAAGGCCAATCTGCCTCTCTGATTTCTTTTTAAAAATCCCTTTTTCCTCTGAATTGTAATGGAATTACATAATCACTACGGAGGGGACCTGGGACAGGGACAAGAGGAGACAGGGAGATCTTCTCATTTGTTGGGGAGAGTAGGAGTGTCCGGCAGCCCAGGGGACTGTGGGCCCGGTCTACTACCTGAGAGTCCCTCCCTGATTCTAGAAGGAGGCCAGGGCAGACATGGCATGAGGAGGAAGCCTGTTGACTGGTTAACTTGCAAAAAATCTTAGCAAGGTGCCGGCGCGAATGCACCCTGAGACTTCCTACTTTCACTATACAGTGCAGCTCTTGGTTTATTTATCAGATTGAAACGTTTGTTTGTTTATTTATTTATTTTAGACAGAGTCTCACTCTCTCACCCAGGCTGGAGTGCAGTGGCGCCATCTTGGCTCACTGCAACCTCCGCCTCCCGGGCTCAAGCGATTCTCCTACCTCAGCCTCCAGAGTAACTGGGATCACAGGCATGCACCACCACGCCCGGCTAATTTTTGCTTTTTTTTTTTTTTTTTTTTAGTAGAGACAGGATTTCACCATGTTGGCCATGGTGGTCTCAAACTCCTGACCTCAGGTATCCACCTGCCTCGGCCTCCCAAAGGGAGTGAGCCACTGTGCCTGGCCTGGATTGAAAAGTTTAGAATGAGGTTTAGGTGCTTTTGTTGAGTTCGACCTTCAGTAATTCCTCTAGGCTAGGCTTCAATCCCAGTAACCAAACTCACCAGTCCTTGCTCCCAAATATAACTGCTAATTTTCTCTTCTTTTTTCAAGCCGAACCTCAAAAAGTTAGCCTGGCAAGGCTGGAGAAGGGTGAGATTTCCCCTCTTGTCACATAAACAAGGAAGTAAAGGAGGCCCTTGTGCTCTCAGAACTCCAAGCATGAAACAATGTGCGTTAAGCATTTAAATCACTTGCCTGGGATGAAGCATAAAAAGCTTGATTTTTTTTTTTTTAAACCAATTAGGTTTGAGCCTTCATGATACATTTTGGGACCTGTGGTTATCACTGCAATTACACTTCAATTCATGCGTTGGATGCTTTGAAAAGGTTTAATAAACAACAATAAGAATATCAGCTGCCATTTATATCTATGCTCCTGGCACTGTCCCAGGGGCTTTAATATGGTACCTATAACCCTTCCAATTATTCTCATTTTAGAGTGGAGATAACTAAGACACAGAGAGGTAAAAAACAAGCAAACCAAAAACCTGCCCAAGGACACGCGATAGGTCAGAGGTAGGCATGGTGGCGCATGCCTGTGATCCCAGTTAATCTGGAGGCTGAGGCAGGGTTCACACTCCGGGCTCTTGGCTTACCGAAGTTCTCTTCGTTTATTCCACTATCTCATAAGAAAAATGAAGCAAATCAAGTCACACTTCAAATCGATTGAGGAGATTTTGCTGTAGAAAGGAATCTGGTAAATCCCTTCATCAAGTAAATAATACTTTGTGTGTAAATCTGGACTTATATAAAGTATATGTTTTTTTGGCATGGTTAAGGTGACCTACCATGTTCCTTTCCAGAAAGTAAAGACGGTTTAAGGCATATGAAGGAGGCCTTTGTTCATTGCTTTGATGGATATTTATTCAGTGCTCCTCTGTGGGAATGCTAAGATGAGAAAAGCAGACGGTCCCTGTCCTCAGGGAGCATATCGTTTTTCACTACCCCTTATTATTGGGTTGCTAAAAAAGAGAATGTCTATTTTATTTAAGTGAGTGGTTTTAAAAACTTCTATTTTCTGCTTATCACAGTAATGCATCGCATTAAAAACTGTAAAAAAACCAAACATTATAAGAATGTATAATACAAAAAGTTAGTTTTCAGTATTGCCAGCCCCAAAGAAACAACCACGGTTACAGATGAAAATTTTAACCATTAAAACTCTTCCTCCAGAGGAGAAACACAGAATATCAGCTAGTAATTTCCCTGTCCTGGCTCCTGCAGCCCTTCAGGACTCGGAGAATTTTTTTTTTTTTTTTTTTTTTTTACTGGGCGGCTCCTGACCTTGGGGCAAGCAGAAACAGCTGAAAGTAAATATGAAACAAAACTCTGGCCATGGGGCCTGAGAAAGGCTTTTTTCCACTGCCTTTTAAATGTATTTTCATGAAAAGACACCAAAGACATTTAAAGTTAGGATTGTTCTAGAAAATCCTAGATAGATGGCCACCAGATGTCTATGGGGAATCAGGGCACACCACAGTAAACACTCAATAGATATTTGCTGAAGGGAGGAATGAAGATTGTACTTATATTTAGAAAATTAAAACAACCCTGAAATACATGCTGGACTTCATAGGTTTTCGATTTATCTCCTCCTCTTTTTTCCCCCATGCAGAGCAAAGGGAAAAATAACTAAGTGCTTCCTGGCTGAATTTTATTTTGCTTTCAGTTTCTGCCACTTCAGTTCCTGTTATCATGCTTCGAGGTGCACTGAACTGCAGCAAACCCAGGGGATCCAAGGCCATGTTGAAAAGCCTTTGACCGCAGTGCAGGGAGCAGAAGACATTAATGACGTGATGTCGACACAGCCCGCACTCAGGATCCTCCAGGAGAAGAACACAGAGATAACCCCGGATCAATGGTACTTTTTGAAAATGCTTTACTGGGAAAGAGTGGCTAGGGTTTTACAAGGGCTATGAAGAAACATATTTAGGTTAATAAAGCTTTTTATTGAGTGTTTACTGAGTGTTACTATGTGCTTTACATCTATTAACTCACTTCATCTTCAAAACAACCCTATAAAGACGTTACAACTATAATCCTCACCTTACAAATGAAACAACTGAGGCACAGTAGAGTGCAGTGGCCTGCCCAGGTGAGAAGCAAGACAGAATTTGAACCCAGGCAGCCTGACCCCAGGGTACAGGTATTAAGCCACTCTGCTATAGTGCCTTTCAGATGACAGAGAAACTTGATGAATTACTGGGTTACTGAATTTTAGTTTGCATAGGTTGTTTTTTTCCCCTTAAGAGTAGAACAAACATACCTGAAGTATTGAAAATAACATTTATTTTATTTATTGATTTGCTTGAGATGGAGTCTCGCTCCGTTGCCCAGACTGGAGTGCAGTGGCGCAATCTAGGCTCACTGCAACCTCTGCCTCCCCGGTTCAAGCGATTCTCCTGCCTCAGCC